TCAGCATCACGTCTAGACACCTCGCGTGTTGACTGTGGAGAGAATCTTTGACGGGAGACGCGGACGGCCCGCGCACAGTGATGACATCCACAACCATCGGACCGCAGTTGGCCGCTCGCCGCGGTCACAGCTCGTCCCTGCTCGGCTGCGCCGGCGACTCGGCCTCCTCGATGCCCTTTGCGACCGCGTCGAGCGCCGACCAGCGCTCGCCAATCACGCGCGTCGCCTGGCTGAGCTTGGGCTCCTTGGTGAGCGGGTTGTTGCAGAGGTCGATGGTCTTTGCGCGCGGCTTGGAGGTGTTGCCGCACCACGTCTCGCACCTGTGCACTCAGGGCGGCGTGAGGAGACGCTGCTCACGGCCTTGGGCGCGCCGCGTCGCCGTGCGCCGCACCAGAGCCACTCCTCTGGAAGCGAGTGGATGGGCACCACGTGCTGCGCGTAGTTGGGCAGGTCCTGCCAAGGCGACGAGCGAATGAGCGCCTCGGCCACACGTGGCCGATCTCGGCCATCTCTCGGCCGCCTCTCGGCCGCACCTGGTCGAGGTTGGAGAGCGAGTTCGGGTCCTTGGAGAGCGAGTCGTAAAAGACGCGGTACTGGTCGCCGTACGCGCGCCGCCGGAACTTGTGCAGATCGACGACAAAGAGCGCCTATCCACCGGTGCGAGACGTTGCGTCCGTCCCCGCCCCGCCGCTGCGGCCGCATCCCGGCAGCTCGCGGCGCGCCGAGATGTGGTACGGCCGCCCCTGCAGGTGGTCCCTCCAGTAGCCTGCGGCATGTCTCGGACGTGTCATGGACGTGTCCTGGACGTGTCCTGCACGCGGCCCCTCTCGAGCAGCCCTGCGCGAAGAAGCGGAAGCCCGTCGTGTCGGGGTTGGCGTCCGCCTGGCAAAATGGCGTCATCGCCACCGCCGCGCGGCCGGGCAGCTTCATGTCCCACAACTCGCCAACGTCGGCGTTGACTACCTGCTCTCAGCGAGAGGCGTGGAGAGGCGCGGCTCTCTTCCGCGTCGCCGCCGCCGGCCTGTCGGCTGCCTGGTCGGCGTCAATGTAGATGATCCGCCGCACCGAGAGGGGGAACATCACGTCGAGGAAGAGGATCTTGTAGCCCCAGATGATGCGCTGCTTGTCGGTCTGCTTGTGGAGCCACGAGGGCCACTGGTACTGCACGAGCCCGTACTCAAAGCCGAGCGCCTGTGGAATCGTCTCGGACATGTCGTGGACGTGTCCCGGACATGCCCCCGCCCGCGCTCGATGCCGAGCGCCGCCGCCATCGCCGGCAGCGAGCCGATGAAGGCGGGCGAGAGGAAGTTTTTGAGGAACCAAAACTTGACGTGCCGCTTTGTGCGCTGCAGCACCGACTGCAGCATGATCTTGAGGAAGCGCTCGTACAAGTGCCTACGCGCGCAGACTCCAGCGCATCGAAACGGGCGTCCGGCGGCATCGCCCCCCACGGGCATGTGTGTTGCGGTGCCCCGACGCGAGAGAGAAGACGTGCACAGTCTCGCTGGCGTCGCCCTTCTCGCCGCCCGACCACCACTTAGCCACAGATCCAATCACGCCCGCCGCGCGCTCGCCGCCGTCGCCCGCGCCGGCGCCGCCGGCCGCCTCGCCCTGCTTGTCGTCGTCGAGTATCGAGACCTGCTCACAGCAAGAGGCGTGATCGGACGCCGCTCGCGCCCCACCCCCGCGTGCTACCGGCGAGACAGCGCGGCACCGACTCGAGCCCGGGCCGCTTCTGCGCGAGCAGCAGGATGTTTGCGCCCGTAAAGTCCGCCATAGTGACCCGCACCTGCTCCCGGCGCGAGCCGCGTGAAGAGGCGCCGTTCACAAGCCGCGCGCACAAGGTGGGGCTCCGGCGACGCGACGCGCACCGCCGCCGCGTCGTTGAGAGTGGCGGGGTCGATGCGCTGCATGCCTCCGCGAAACGCGCGCGTCGAGTGGCCGGCGGCGAGGAGGGCGGGCGCCGTGCGGAGGGTGAAGACCTTGCGCGCGGGAAAGGGGGAGGGGGAGGGGGAGTCAATGACGACCTCGGAGGCGTGGCGGTGGTGCAACCTAACCGATCAACGAGTAGACCGATTGGGCGGGGCGGGGGTGGCACCTCGGAAGAGGGCCCTGGCGCGAGGGAGAGATCCCACACGCCGGGCGCCGCCTTGAGCTGGAAGTAGCCTACCACACCGTCCAACCAACGCTCGGCCGCCGCCGCGGCTCGCCGGTGCGTCGCCGCCTCGGGAAGGGGGGGGGGGCGGGCAGGGAAGGGGCGAGGGGGGCGGGCAGGGAAGGGGCGGGGGGGCGGGCAGGGAAGGGGCGGGGGGGCGGGCAGGGAAGGGGCGGGGGGGCGGGCAGGGCGCGCGCCCAAGTTGGACATGACGAGTGTGTCGGTCGCGTGCGGCTGTGCGGTCGTCCCGAGCAGCAGCTGCAGCCCGTTGGGGGGGTGGCGCGAGCCGACGTCCTCGCAGCTGCCCGTGATGAGGAGCGACGCGAGCTCGTACACGGCGGACACCGTCCGACGGTCGCCTAATATCGACATCCTCTCGGCGTCGTCTCGACACCATCTCGACGCCTGGACGGCCTCCTCCGCTCGCCCAGCTCGGCGAGCCGCAGGTTGTCCATGTCGTACGCCGCCTCGGTGCACTCGAGCAGCCACGCCTCGGGTGCGTCCACGTGCAGCGTCAGCACCTGTGGCGTGCGCAGCGACGAGAAGAGGGCGCGGTCGAGCTGCGGGCTGAGCGATCGGCCGGCGTTGTCGAAGCTCGGCTCGAGCGACACGACGTACCTACCAGAAGGTTCCAGGAAAGGTCCAGGAAAGGTCCAGGAAAGGTTGTCGAAGCTCGGCTCGAGCGACACGACGTACCTACCAGAAGGTTCCAGGAAAGGTCCAGGAAAGGTCCAGGAAAGGTTGTCGAAGCTCGGCTCGAGCGACACGACGTACCGGTAGAACGACTCGAGCGGGAACTTGTCGATCTGCAAGCTCGGGTTGAGGTGCAGCGTGACGGAGAGGCCTAAAGGGGGGGGAGCCTGCGACTCAGCAACCAGACAGCGGAAGGCGGGCGCGGCGTGGCGGAGGGACCGAACGTCTCGGGCAATCTCGGGCAATCTTGGCAATCTTGGCTCATATCGGCTCATCTCGGCTAATCTCGGGCCGAGCGACTCGTGCAGCGCCATCAGGATGGGCACCGCGCGCTGCGCCTCCTTGGAGAGCGGGTCGAGCACCGCCGTCAGCTCGAGCGCCTGCAGCAGCTCACGCCGAGGTCAGCCGGCGCCGGAGAGGCCGAGAGCGGCACCAGCAGCCCGCTCGACGCGCCTTCCCCGGCCCGGAGCCCGCCAGCTGCACGCACGCCGCACCGCACCCGAGGCTCTCGGGTCGGAACGCCATCTCGCGCACCCCTCCGGCGGCCGCCGCCGCCTGCGCGCCCCGGCTAAGCGCCGCCACCGCCAGCATGAGCAAATCTGACCGCTGGCCGAACTCCTCGGCCGACGGGGCGCCGCCTGCGTCTGCCGCCTCCTCGGCTGCATCCTCGCCAACCAACTCGCGGACGAGCGTCGCCCCCGGCGCCTGACCACAGGGGGAGAGGTTGTGACGAGGTGCCTCGTCGCGCGCGCCCCGCCTCCCGCCCGGCGGCGCCTGCGCGCGCTGCTTGTACTCGAACTCGCTGAGGAGCGCCTGAGAGACAGGCTCGAGGTGACAAGGAGGGCTGATCCGAGGCCGCGACAGAGCTCGCTGGGGAGGCGCCAGATCGACGGCGTCGAGTTTGCCCGCCGTCGCCGCGTCGACCAGCCGCCCGTTGACGACGATCGCCGGCGCCGCGGAGACGCCGAGCGAGCGGCAGAGCGCAGCGTGGTGCGGCGCCACCACCGACTTCACGCCGGCGATGAGGTTCGCAGTCTCTGCTGCGGAGAAGGCCTCGGGCACCGCGCTCGCCAGCAGCTCGGGCGTGAGGGCCTCTCCGGCCAGCGCCGCCGCGTGCAGCAGGGCGAGCAGCCGCCGCGCCGCCCCGAAGTCGTGTGTGGTCTGGAGCAGCTTCTCCCACGCGGCAAAACCAACGCGCGAGCGCTGCGCCGCCTATGGGGGGGTCTCGGAGACGGCGATCAGGCGGGAGAGGGGTCCCGAGCGGCGGGGGCGACGCGGAGGAGGCTGCGGCCGCCTCCTCCTTCCGCAGGTGCTCCATCGGAGGGCAGGCATGCCCGTGCTCGGGAGTGCACTCCCCACCGGCAGGCCCTCGCCCCAGCTGCAGCAGGCCGAGCCGGACGCGCCCGCCCGGCGCCGCCTCCGCCGCCTCCACCGCCGCGGCGGCGAGGGCGACGTGCGACGGCTGGGAGAGGTCAAGCACCAGCAGCTTGGAGACGGGGTGCAGCAGCTGCTCCAGGTCGCCTCCGCCCTCGCCGCCGTCGCCGCCGTCGCCTCCGCCGTCCTCCTCGTCGCCAAACTCATCCCCGCCACCATACGCGTACATATCCTCCTCCGCCGGCGGCGGCGCCGCAACGGGCGGCGCAGCCTCCGAAGGCGGCGAGGGCGGCGCGGGCGGCGTCGCGAGCCACTTGATCGCGCCGAGGTGGGCCGACGGCTTGAGGCCGGCCATCACCACCTTGTCGATCGGCTGCAGCAGCGCCTGAGGCAGGGTGAGCAGGTGGGGTAAGGCAAAGGTCTCCACACACGCTGCGCGCCGCGCGTGCGTTCGTGCGTGCGTGCGTGCCTCGTTGTAGCGCGGGAAAGTGGCCGTCGCGTTGGCGATCGTCGCGTACACGTCCTGGTGCTCGTCGGTGAGCTTGCCTGCGGGGGGAGGGGAGGGGGAGGGGAGGGGGAGGGCGACGCGAGAGCGCCGTCAGCGAGGCTTGCTTTGGAGGAGCGGCGCCGCCAGCAGGCGCACCCGTCCGGACGAGGCGCTGGACGGTGCGCACCTCGGCGGAGAGAGTCTGCATGATCTCCTGCTCGAAGTTGTCGCCCAGCCGCGTAAGCAGGCCTGTTCACACCGTGCGCGCCGTGAAGAGGCGCCGGCCACCGCCCCTCTGCCGCCCGATGGCGCGTGAGCTGGCCGTTGAGAAGCAGCAGCGGCTGCGCGGCGGGCAACCCCTTGTCCGCGAGGAACGTCGCGCCGCTGGCCACCTCCGCGTCGAACTCGGTTGAGGCGCCGGAGGAGAGGCCCTCGAAGGCGGCCGCCGCGTCGATGCCCTCCTTGCGCGAGGCGGAGGCCGCGGCGTGGAAGGCTTCGCGTAGATGCTCCTCCTGCGGCGGTCACGAGGCCTTTCGTGAAAGATGGGTTCGTGTCGGACACTGCCTCGGAAGGCGGGTGCTCTCCTGCAGCTCGTCGAGCTGGGGCGGGCCGCCGAAGAAATTCATCATCCCGCCTCCGAGCTCGCGCACCTGAGACGCGTGACAGGTAAGGGACACGTGACAGGTAAGGGACACGTGACAGGTAAGGGACACGTGACAGGTAAGGGACACGATGGCAGCGATCGTGGTGAGCGCAGAGGGGTCGGCAGGACGGCCATGCAAGCCCATCCGAAGCGGGCGCACCTGCCGCGTGGCGGCGAGGAAGCGCATCGCCGTCGCCGAGCCCATCCGCCGCTTGCAAAAGAGGAAGAGCTTGGTCAGCAGCAGCCCCAGCCGCTCCGCCTCCGCCTCCTCCTCGCTGTCGCCCACCAGCGCCGCCGCCGCAGCAGCGCCCGCCGCCGCCGCCGCGTCCGCCGCCGCGCCCGCGCCCGCCGCGGAGGGCGCGGCCAGCGCCGCCCTCTCCTCGAGGGAGGCGAGGCCCGGGGCCGCCCACGCCTCGTGCGAGTACGCGGCAGCGAGGGAGCTCAGTCGCGTCGAAGAGCCCTCCAGCCGCGCCTCGCACGCCGCAGTCGCGGGCGCGCCGCTCTCGCCGCCGCCGCCGCCGTCGCCGCCGCCGGCACCGTCCGCACCGTCCGCGCCGTCCGCACCGCCCGCGGCGTCCGCGGCGGCGCGGCGCGTGGCACCGGGGGCGAGGACGATCCCGAAGCGGATCGGCGCCCCTTGCGCGTGCAAGTCGACGAGGTAGCCGAGCACGGCCTGCCCGTCGCCGGTGGCGGGGTCGAGGACAAAGACCATCGTGAAGACATTCTTGCGGCAAAAGGAGATTTGGCCCCACGGGTTCGGGCGCAGCAGCTCCTTGACGGAGGGCGGCCAGCGCGCGTACTTGCGGTCGCGGCCGATGTCGTTGAGCACAACCACCGCGGGGTGGCGCGCCTGCAGGAAGGGTCCGGGAAGGTTCAGGGAAGGTTCAGGGAAGGTTCAGGGGGGAAGGGACCGAGGAAGCGGGGCGGGAGGCGAAGAGGAGGGAGGGGAGGGAAGGGGAGGGCGGGGAAGGGACGGGAAGGGGCGGAGGGGGAGGGGAGGGGAGCGGAGGGAGCGAGGGAGCGTGGCGGAGAGAGTGGGCTGTGCCGACACGCGGAGCGACGCCGGCGCCGCCGGCAGCGAGAGCATCGCTCGGATGGCGAGGGGAGGCACGCCGGCCGTCTGAAGCTCGTCGACGGTGCGCATCTCGCGCGTCATCGTGGTGAGCAGCCCGGCGAGGTCGTTCGTCTCGACGAGCGGCAGCGGGCGGCCTAGTGCGGCGCAGGCCGTGGACGTGTCATGGACGTGTCTTGGACGCCGGCGTGCGCAGCGTCAGCGGGTTGCCGTTGAGGAAGGCGCCCGAGAAGGAGGAGCCCCACACCGTCTGCTGGAGGCGGTCGACCTCGAGGGCGAGCTCGCGCGGCGCCGGACCCTTGGACAGCCCGCGTGCCAGGAAGGGGAAGTTTTGGCACAGGTCGCGCAGCGCACGCAGCGGCTGCTTGGCGGCCAGCACCCGCGCCGCCGCCTGCACGCCGAGGTCCTGCAGCGCCCACACCTTGAGCTCGGACGCGTCGTGGGACGCGTCCGCGGCGGCGAGCTCCTCGCGCAGCGCGCCGAGCGCGTCCGCCACCTCGGGCGCTCGCGCCGCCAGCGACCGAAAGTAAAATCCGTGCTCCTCAGCCTCCTCGCCCTCCTCGTCGCCGCCGCCGTCGCCGCCGCCGTCGCCGTCGCCGCCGTCGCCGCCGTCGATGCCGCCAAGGTCCTTGTCGTCCATCGCCTTGTACTCCATGTTCTTGATCGCCAGCTGCACGCCGTATCCTTGCAGCGTCTGCCGCTGCGCGCCGCCGCCGCCGCCGCCCGGCGCTTGCGGCAGCGGCCGGAGGGCGTAGCGGACACGGCCGTCCGCCGCGGCTCGGGAGAGGGCGTCGTGGGCGGGGTGGAAGGCGGCCGAGCCGAGCCGGGCGTACAGCACCAGCAGCGGAGGCGCCTCTCCGCCCGCGCGGCTGCCTCCCGGGAAGACGCGGTCCACGGAGAGCAGCTCGGCCTCTTGCGGGCAGTCGGCTCGCGCAGCGGAGAGCGCCGCCGCGACGAGGTCCGCCGCGCCGTCCGCCCCCGCGCCGTCCGGCAGCGCGTGCGCGCGGCCGCACGCCCGCACCCAGACCTCCGACGTGCCGCTCACGCCGAGCGTCGCAGCGTCGGTCGCTGCAATCTGTCGCCACATGGCCGCACGCGGAGAGAAGACGTGCGCTGAGAGGAGGACGCGGAGCAGGCGGAGGCGGAGCGGCGAGAGCAGGCCCGCCGCCGCCGCTTCGATCGCCGCGAGCACCTCCTGGTCCGAGCCGCCTCCCTCTGGCTCGTGCAGCGCCGCCGCATAGTCCCAGAAGAGACCCTCGTCGGCCATGAACTCGGCAGACTCGACCGAGAGCGGCGTCTCGTCCCAGCGCGCGGTCAGCGAGATGTCGATGTTTTTGGGCCTGAGCGTCTCCGCGCCGGCCGCGGCGAGGGCAAAGAGGAGCGCCGCCATCGAAGCAACAGCGCTGTGCTGAGGTGGCAGTCAAAGAAAAAAATTCGGTTTTCTTTTGTAGTTCGCTGTACAATTCTGGCACCACTGCCCACCACTGCCCACACTCAGCATTTTCAGTGCATATAGTGGCTCTTGCGAACATATTGCGGATATTTGGGAACTACATGACCATCACCTCCGTGGCTCGCACTACCGGCAGCTCTGACCCTTGCACTATACCTCGAGGTACGACTGTAGCACTCCCCACCGGCACTGGCACCGCCGCTGCGGTCACATGCGGTGGCGGCGGCTCCGTGCTCATACGCTTGGCGTGCTGCTTGTGGATGACAATCGCGGTGGCAGGAATAGCGAGAAAGAGGGCGCCTCCGACGCACCCGCCGACAATCGCGGCGATGGTGCCGGCGTTGCTCGAAGAGTCGCACCAGCCGTTGGTATCCCGATTGAGCGCTTGCGCCGCTCCCTGGCAGGCGCCGCCGTCACATACGTGGTCCTTGTACCGCTCGCAGTTGTCCTCGTGGCAGTTGGCCGGGTCTGTCACCCACGGATAGAAGGTGCACGACTCTCGCGCGGGAACGCAGCAGTCGTCGAGGCCGCAAGCATTGTTGACGCACACGAAGCCCTCCTGGTAGTGTTCCGAGCACCAGTCGCTGCCCTCGCCGAGGCAGCACCCGCCCGAGTTGCTCCCTCTCCCGCTCGGATTGCCGGGGCAGCCCGCGACCTCATGAGCGGCCGGCATGGGCGAAGGCGGGGTCGGTTCCGGGGTCGGCAGAGCGTCCGCATTCATCAGACACACCTCGGCGCACAGCCCGGTGGGCTTGTTGGCTCCGGCGACGTTGTCCCAAGTGCAGCAGCTCTGCCCCTTTGGGCAGCCATCCGTGGCGCTGCACTGTCGGGCAGGCTCGTCGGGGTTGCCGATTCGTGTGGTCGCCATGCAGTTGTTGACATTGTGCGAGCAGCACTCTCCCGCGCAGATGTACTGGCAGCTCGAGCTGCATTCCGCCTGGGTGCAGGTGGTGGCGCCGCCGGTCTGATCTCGGGATAAGCAGATGGCCGCGGCGCGCAAGATTTGGACCACGAGGAGAGCGATGGCGCGCATATACAGATTGACGGCTGGCGAAGGTTGTTGTGCGCGCGCGGCGGACTGGAAGACTGAAACGTCGCGATTTTTTCTTCCAAAGGACTCCGGGAATGTACGTAAGAGCACATACTCCATTGCTTCGGTGAAGGGGGTGAACCGCGCCATCCTCGACCGCCGTGTAAAGCTCGCTTCCGAGCTCTCACGCCGCGCGTAGGGCCTTTAGGGCCTAGAGAACACAACCCCCTCTCCCTTTTCTCCCAGAGCTAAAAAGTAAGAGCTACATCTTACCTTATATTTTCCCGTGTCCGGATTTCCGTTTCGGGCGACGGCACCACTCACCGAGCTCTCCGGCAGGGAATCATGTCGGCGAAGGCGGGCTCTGGCGTCTCGGTGATGCGCTCCGATCTCGACGCGTTGACCTCGACGGAGGTGGACGCGCACGAGGCGCAGTGGCGGGCCGGCGTCAACCGCCAAGCACGTCCAGACGCCCCCTCGCAAAGGCGGGCGGCGTCATTGGGTGCTGCAGCCAAGCGGCGGCGGAGAAGGACATGAACAACATACCTGCGCAATCCGTCATCGCCCGGGCGGCCGCAGGCGGTGCCATCTCAACCCACTCTCGGCACCGCTGCACGTTCGTGCTCCCTCTCCCACCCAACTCAGCTCCACCCTCCTCCACCCACACCCACCCCATCATCTGCTCTCAGGCTGATTGCGGCGTGTGTGTGTTGCGCAGTGCCGACCCACCAGACGCTGGCCAGAGCATGACTGTGATGCCTCTGTCTGGGCCGGGGAAGCGTTCGACAGCGCGCAAGGTTGCCTCCCTGCCCTTTGCGACGCCTCCAGCCACCACAGGATTTGTAGGTGTAGCTCTTACTATACTCTATAGGATCTAGCGCTTAGCCAGCTAGCCCCCCCACCCTATCCGGAACACTTGGCCTCTCCCGAGCCGGTCGTACTCCTATCGCAGATACGCGCCCATCGCCCCCCTCTCACCCCCGCGACCACGCCTCGACCTTCTTGGGCAGCAGCTGGTTCGACAGGTCCTCTCCGTGGCCTAAGCGGCCGAGTCCGCCAGCGCCCCAGGTAAAGACAGCGCCGTCGGCGGTAAGGGCGAGGCTGTGATGCTGCCCTGCTGACACGGCGACGACGCGCTGGCCAGCTAAGGCCTCGATCTTCTTGGGCAGCAGCTGGAACTGCTCGTCGCCGTGGCCCAAATTGCCACAGCCTCCATAGCCCCAGCTCCAGACTGCGCCGTCGGCGGTGATGGCGAAGCTGTGGACTGCTCCAGCCGACACAGCGACAACGCGCTGCCCAGCGAAAGCCTCCATCTTCTTGGGCAGCAGCTGGTTCTGCCCGTCGCCGTGGCCCAGCTGGCCACCGCCTCCCTCGCCCCAGCTCCAGACAGCGCCGTCGGTGGTGATGGCGAGACTGTGCGCGGCTCCAGCCGACACGGCGACGACGCGCTGACCCGCCAAGGCCTCGACCTTCCTCGGCAGCGGCTGGTGCTGCCAGTCGCCGTGGCCCAGCTTGCCGTTGTCTCCCATGCCCCAGCTCCAGACTGCGCCGTCGGCAGTGATGACGAGGCTGTGGCCAAAGCTAGCCGAGACAGCGACGACGCCCTGGCCAGCAAAAGCCTCGACCTTCTTGGGCAGCAGCTGGTTCTGCCGGTCGCCGTGGCCCAGCATGCCTTGCCAATCATCGCCCCAGCTCCAGACAGCGCCGTCGGCGGTGACGGCGAGGCTGTGGCTCAAGCTAACCGACACAGCAATGACGCGCTGGCCGGCAAAGGCCTCGACCTTCTTGGGCAGCCACTGAGCCTCCCTAGCGCCGTGTCCCAGCTCACCGCTGCCCCAGGACCAAATGGCGCCGTCCGCGGTGAGAGCGAGGCTGAAGTATCGTGACGCCGCCACACCAATCGCGCGCTCGCCTCCGAAGAGCGAGGAGAGACGGGTCGGCGTCTTCAGCTGCAGCACGCCCTCGCCGTGGCCGAGAAGGCCTGGAAACTCGTCCTCTTCCTCGTCCTCGTCCTCCTCCTCGCTCTCCGCTGCCGCGCCGCACGACGAGAGCCGCCCCTCGACGTCGATGAAAACGCTGTGCTGACAGCCCGCCGCAAGCCTCACCGGCGGGTTGGACTCGCGCAGCAAGGCATACAAGCACAGCCACCGCACGGCGCAGCTCTCGCCCTCTGGCTGCGCCGGCGGCTCGTAGCCGGCCTCTTGCAGGCGCAAGCGGATGCCCTGCTCTGCGAGCGATGTCGGCGGGATCGCAGCGAGAGAAGGCGCGCACGAGGAGCTCCGTGGCGAGGTGTGTGTATATGTCCACCTTGTTGCGCCGCTCGCGCCGCTCGCGCCGCCTCGCCGCCGCCGCAACCGCCTCGCCCTCCCCTCCGACACCCACCCGCCTCGCCCTCCCCTCCGACACCCACCCGCCATGTGTATGTGTGTGGAAAAAAAACCAGCCAGGCAGTTGATTTGGCCCTGGCACCAGCCTTGGCAGTTGAGTTGGCCTTGGCACCAGCCTTGGCGGGCGGGCACGCGGGACATGCACAGGCGCCAAGGGGCGCGGCGCCGACAATCACGGCGGTGATTGCGGCGCAGGTGGGGGGACGGGAAGTCCGTCGGCGTTGCCGGGGGCCCAAGGAAGCGCGAGGGAAAAATTCCGCCGCTGAGGGCGCTCGTGCGGCAATAGCCGGGTGGAGGGGGAGCGTGCCGGACGGGGCGTCGTCGCGCCGTCCGGTGGTCTGCTGCCCCGCGCAGCAACCGTCGGGCGACGACCCGGGGGCCAAAAACCCGGCGACGACGGCGCTCTGGATGGGGCGTGACCTCCTGCCTCCAACCTCCTTCCTTTTTGAGCAGGTGTGACGCCGCGCGAGCGACGCTCCGAGATCGCCCGAGATAGCGCGGCGCGGCCCCGAGATCGCCCGAGATAGCGCGAGATCGCCCGAGATAGCGCGGCGCGGCCCCGAGATCGCCCGAGATCGCGCGAGATCGCCCGAGATCGCGCGGCGCGGCCCAGGGCGGGGTGGATGGGTTGGGAGCGAGGGGGCGGAAGTGTTCAGTGCGGTAGATGGCGAGCTCGAGGCGCGTGAGCCGGACCTGTGAGCCGGACCACCCCCTCTTGTTATCTGCGTTGTTGAGCCAGGACTCAACATACTCGGGCTTGCGAGTCCCAAACTGTCACTCCCCTTTCTCCCGGCCGGGGTGGGGCGCGCGCGGGGGCGGCGGGTGTGCGGCGAGTGTGCGGGATGTCTGTGGGCCCGAGAGCGATATGCCATGTCCGCCTTGCGTTGTTTCATTACATCGAAGGCTAAGCTCAAAAAAAACAGGTCGGTGATGACTGCACTCCAAGTGCTCCAAGTCGGCCTCGGTGCGCTTCTGAGCTCCCCGGCCCTGGATGTGAGGTTACCGACTGCACTCCAAGTGCTCCAAGTGCATGCGCGCCGCCAAGGCTGCTCGACAGGACTGGCATTGAAAAGCCAGCGGAGCTCCCGTTACGCGTTACGCGATTGCTCGCGAAGCGCAGCATGATGGTTTGATGCGTGGCCAGCGTGGGAGGATGCCGCCGCTGTCAGAGGAGGCCGCCGCTGTCAGGTCTCGAGGGCCGGCCGGCGGGCGAGCATCCGCGCTGCCGACGACGTGCTCGAGACTGGCCTTCTGAAACGGCGAGAAAAGTGTCGTCACCAGCGGCGGTGCTGCGCGGGAGGCGGCCGCGGGCACGCTGGGCTCGAACAGCGGCAAGCAGGCTCGGGCGCACACGACATCCGCGAGCATCACGAGCATGATTACATGGCATGAAAGAGGAGGTGCTCGACCTCCCCGCACCGGGACGCGGTCGGGCGATCTAAGGCCCAGTGAGGCGTATGCATTGCCCATCCAGGGCTATCACCTGGACCTATCAACAGGCGCCTGCGGCGCCGTGCTCAGGAGCTGCTGCTCCAACCTGTTCACACAAAAACACAACCCCGCGGACCCAAGACGCACAAGCAAGCACAGACAGTCGAGAAGGGAGAGACAGCAACGACAGTCAATAGCTAGCGCTGGGTACAACCTGTTCACACAGTACTCTGCTGGAGGAATGGTTGGGCAAGTTACTCAGGACACGATCCCGGCGTGAATACAACTAACTGACGGATCCGCTCCTGACGGCGGCACGGCGCACGCACCGCGCTGTGGCGCGTGCCGCCGTCTTTGTTTGAAGTAAAAAGCCGAATCAGAGCGGCGTCGGCGTTGTCCTGAGTTTTCTCCCCCGGATTGCCCAACCGGGACCGCTCCGTGACGCACGCCGGCGAAGCACCATCAAGCTGCTGTACGCAGTACGGCCCCGGAATCGCCTCCCCAGGCTTAGCTAGACTGAGAGATATTGTGCACATGGTCAGTCTCTACAATGTATACACTGACACTGAACCTCCCAGAGCTCGTCCCGGTCCGTCACGGCCATCCTCGGCCTCCGGAGGGCCCCCGGCCGCGGCGCGGTGCGGCGGCGTCACAAATCCGACCACAGAGCACCGGGACACGGTCCTCGGTCGAGCGATCTGAGGCCCAACTAGGCGTATGCATTGCCTATCCAGGGCTACCACCTGGACCTATCAACAGGCGCCTGCGGCGCCGTGGCAGGAGCTGCTATTCACACCTGCCCAACCATTCATGCAGCACCCTACTCGAGTACCAGGTAGTCGTGAAGCGCGCAATGTCCGACCACCGCGCCAGGTCGCTCGCCGCGGCGGTCGGCCTGCGCACATCGTTGCTAATTTCGACGCTCGCACTCACCGCCCACGCGCTCTTCCTCTACGGCCAGCTTGTCGGCCGCGAAGACGACTGCCCCGGTGCGGGACGCACTCACGTCTTGGTCCTGGCCCATCTTGACTCTGCCCGCCGCTCATACCCGCCGTTTCATCAGCGCGTGTCGGTCATTTTGTGTATCACACACCAAGCTGGCACGCTACGCACCACCCTGTGCAAGCGGATCGCGGTCAGCCGCCGCACCGCCCGTACTCGCCACCACCGACCGCGACCGCCTCCGCGCAGGCTTCAACAACACCGGGTGCGACGCGTCGGTCGCGGACAAGTCCGACTCGATGATGGAGATCGACCTGTCTGCGTCGCTCGGCTATCACGCACACGGACTGCTCGCCGCCGCCGCCGGGGCGTTGGAGGCGTCCGCCTGCGGAACAGACTGCCCGTTCGGCGACGAGACGCTGCCTCCCGGCGCCCCGCCCGCCTGCGCCACCCTCGAGTGCGACGCGTGCACCATCGTCGCCGGCGTGGCGGCGGAGCAGCGCTGCGCTGGAAAGCTCGAGGCGGCCCCGCCCCCCCGTCGTGCGGAGGAGCCGGGGTTGCGGAGGAGGGGAGGACCGCACTCTTCACGGCTGTCGATGAGCAGGTGCCCGTCGCGCACATGTCCTACCTGTACGCGGTGACGCAGCTCTGGGGGCAGGACCTGTCGCCCGCCTGCCAGACAGGCGCAAGAGAGCCAAAGACGCGCGCACGCACCAAACGCACGCGGGTCACCTTCTCCTTTGTTTCACACCGCGCACGCGCTGTGAAGAGGCGCGCAGACGATTAGAGGCGCGCAACTCATGCCTCTCTCTGCCTGCGACCAGGGACCGAGCCCGAGTGCACGCACATCTACCCGGGCCGCCCCGCCGCCGCCACGCTAGTGGTGTGATGCCTAGTGGTGACCACGTCACACTTCCCGCCACGTCACACTTCCCGCCACGTCACACTTCCCGCCACGTCACACTTCCCGCCACGTCACACTTCCCGCCACGTCACACTTCCCGCCACGTCACACTTCCCGCCACGCTAGTGGTCGCCCTTCCCTCCGGCCTGCGTCGCGGCCAGGCAGAGGCTGTGGCTGAGCGTCGCCCACTCCCCGGCGGATAGGCGCTCTGCTGATCTGGCGGCGAGACGCCGGGGGGTGAGAAGCTCGCCTGCTGAGCCTCGCCGCCCCCTTCCGGCGCTGTAGGTCCGCGCAGAGACCCTCGCCGCAGTGCGGTGTCACTGACGAACTCCGCATGAGAGCTGCCGTCCCCCGCCCTCCGCCGCAGGTCTTCTCCTTCATCTGGCCGCACCTCAAGCTGCTGTTGCTGCAGCTCTTCTTCTACTTGCCGCTGCGGCCGGCCGCGCGCCGCAACGGCGGTCGCGCCGCGTCGCGCCGCCTTCGGCGGGGACGCGTCGCTCACGCGAGGGCGCTGCGAGCAGGCAACTACTGGCTCGCCTTTTTCGGCAAGTGGACGCTGGCCGACGTGCTCGTGATGACTTGCCTCCTCGGCCCGCCTTCGGCACCGAGGCCCGCCTCTGCCGCCAAGACACGTCCCATGACGCGTCCGGGACGTGGCCCCACAGGTCTCCTCAACATCAACGCGCACTCGTCGATCGGCGATGTGTGGAGCAGCGTGCGCGCGCAGCAGCCTCAGCTGTGCAACGCACTCTGCGACGCCCTCGCGCCGCCGCCCGCCTCGCCCGGCTTCGACGGCGCCGTCGACGTCCTCGACGCCGCCGGGAACGGCGCCAACTGCACGCGGCTGTGCGAGGGAGTGGCGGAGCTGCTGTCGGCGACGCTGCTCTGGCCGGAGGAGGCCTGATCTCGGGGGGAGCTCGGCTCATCTCGGCGCATCTCCTCCAGGCGACGCTCCTCTCGCCGGAGGAGCTACCGGACTCTTCTCTGGTCGTCGCGCTGAGGCTGCGCGGGCTGACTTGCATGTGCCGCGATGCCGCCGAGATGTGGCCGAGATGTGGCCGAGGTGTGGCCGAGGTGTCGCCGAGGTGTGGCGGAGGTGTCGCCGAGGTGTCGCCGAGGTATGGGCGGATTTGGGTTGCACACACCGCCCCCCCCCCGCGCGCGCTTTCCCTCTCCGCGCGTCCCTGACACGCCCAGCGCGCGTCCCCTCCAGGTACGCGTTTTGTCTCGCCGTCGTCCTCTCCCTCTCCACCTCTGTTCTCGCCGACTCGATCGACGACCACGAGCGGCACGTGTCGGCCGGCGAGCAGAGCCCACCCGCCGGCCCGTGCGCGGGCAGCCTCGCGCCGGCCGGCCGGGCCGATGCCGCGCAACACTGCCAGGAGCAGGGGCAGCAGGGGCAGCAGGGGCAGCAGGGGCAGCCGGGGCAGCAGGGGCAGCAGGGGCCCGCGGCGCGGCGCAGCTCGCGGGCGAATCGCACCGGAGGGGCGCTCGAGATCTTGAGGGAAGGCGACGGAAGCAGCCGCGTCCACCGGTCTACTCGAGAGGGGTGGTCGAATGACCGCACGAGAGTTTGAGCAAAGGCGTGGCCGCGCCGCTCTCTGCCGCCGCAAGCTTTGCCGCCGCCGCCGCCGCCGCGCCGACGCCGGCGCCGCCGCCAGCCAGCCACGGGGGCTCCTGCGGGACGGAGGGTCTGGGTGGAGGGCCAATGCGGCTGGACGCGGCGCTGCTGGACGGCGCCGACGAGCGAGGCGCGCTGTAGCCGAGATGTGGCCGAGGCTAGCCGGGAGGGTGCGCCTACCTGTAGCTGACGAGAGGGGCGGGGCCACGCTGCGAGGGGAGGGGGGGGGGGGGGGAGGGACTCCCAAGCGGCCAGTGGGAGCGGCGAGTGGACGGGCTGGAGCTGCTTAGGTGCCCCCGACGAGGGGCGTGTGATGAGGCCCCTGTGGCGGCGCGGCCGTGCCGGGCCGCTCCACGTGGCGCGCCGTTGGCCCCCCCCCCCCTCTCCCCCCCCTCCCCCCCACGCCCACGCCCACGCGACACAGCCGGCTGGACGGGGCGCAAGGCGAGTCGTGTGTAGGGCCTCGTGATCGTGCAGCTCGCCATCACGTGCGTCGCCATGTCGACGCCGCTGTTCGAGCGGCGGCTGACCGGCTCCATGGCGCTGCTGCTCGACTCGCTCGGCGCGTGCGCCCCATATCTCCCCACATCTCCCCACATCTCCCCACATCTCCCCACATCTCCCCATTGCTCGACTCCCTCGGTGCATGCGCCCGCCGGCTTTGTCCGCGAGGCGGGGGGGCGGGCCTCATCTCACTCCTCCGCCCCCCCCCCCTCGCCGTGGACAGGCTTCGACTTCAGCGGGGCGTACACGATGGTCAACCTCGGCCTGCTCTCCGCAGAGGCGGGCGGCTGGGCGCTGCTCATGTCCTCCACATTTTGGGTCGCCGCTTGCTTGCTGCTGGTGCGGCCGCCTGCAGGGCGTCGCTTCAAGGGAGCGTGCGTGTGATCTTCAGGTCTTCATCGTCATCTGCCCGCTGCTGCGCGGCGCCTCGCTGCTGCTGCTGCTGCTGCGGCCGATGACCGTCGCGGCGGCGCAGAGGCTGCACGCCCGCTCGCGTGCCGTCTCGTACTATTACGCTCTCGAGGCGCGATTCCGACGAGATTGGGCCGAGATGTGCAGCCGCAGCTTTTGGGTCTGCTTTGGCGATGGCCGAGCGGCGCCCGCCACTCACCGCCGCGTTCGAGGTGCCCCCGAGGCGCGGGCCTTGGACTGAGCTTGGGCGTGGTCCGGGACGGCGGCAGGTGATGCTCGTGGCAGTGCCGCTCATCGGCACCACCATCGAGCCGATGACGGCGACCCTCTTCACGCCGTACAACACGCCCATCTGCAAGGACATCACCACCGCCTTCCCCAACCCGCCCGGCACCGACCCGCCCGACCTGTGCTTCACCATCTCCGTCGTGCCCTCGACGGGCTACTTCTCGGTGGGACACCGCGACCCCCAAACGCCTCTCGGGCGGAGCGCCGCACGCGCCTCCCTCACGTGCTCGCGCCTCTGTCAACAGGTCGCCGCCGCCGTGGTGGTCTTCCTCCTCTCCGGCTTCGACGGCTCGCCCACGCACAAGTACCTGCACCGCCTCCTCCACCCAGGAGACGAGCCGCCGCCCTACTGGCCGCGCTGCGGGGCGGCGCGATGACGGCGGAGGGAGAGGCAGAGGGAGCACATGCTGCTGAGCTGAGCTGTGCGTGGTGCTGCGCGCATTCCCACTGTGCCAATTGTTTTTGCAGATGCATAGTACTACGTCTACGAGCTGTGCAATAGACCGTTCCTCCTGACTCTGTGACTGTCATATCACAAGATCAGTCCCAGTGCCACTGCGCAGTGCGGCGCGTGGGTCTGGGTGGCCCGAACTCCCAGGGCGCGAGAGAGGCGGTACAAAGCCTCGTTCTTGCATCTTGGGGCCCGGGGCCTGGCCCGCGATGTATAACGAACACATGCCTCATGCGCAGGCCGCAGACACGTCTTCTACACTACTCTCTAGAGAGTAAAACCGCCGAATTTCGGACAATGCTCTTTTCCCACGCTCGCCACATGACGCCCACCGCCGCCGCGTTGGGCGGCGCGCGCCGACGCCGACCATCACCGCCGACCGACGGCTCGCACGGCCGTGCGGTGAGCAAAAATTTGGGTCGCTGCGCGCCTGCCGGATGCTCTGCGACGTCTGGACGCTCGCCAGAAACGCCAGGAAGCTTGCCTTCCACCCCTGGGCCCGAGGGCGAACGGCAGTGGTCGGCAGCCTCTGCGACGCTCCGATCGGCTCCTCGACCTCATCGCCTGCGACGAGCCAGCATGGCTCGTCGCTCGACGGCAGCCTGCTCAGTATGCTCTTGGCATTCTGTACAGCCTCGCCAGGCTCTCTGAGACGGCCTGCAGGGCCGGCGCCGACCGCCTCGGGCGCGATGGCCCTCCTCAGTACCTACCTCTTCGATGCCGGTCGGCTCTCCAATCTCGTCGCCGGCGGCAGGCCCGCATGGCGCGCTGCTCGATGGCAGCCTGCTCAGTACGCCTTGGACAATGACTTCTGCCTCGCTGCTCTTACTGCAGCCGCCTCCGGGGCCGGCGCCAGCCGCCTCGCTTCGCCAGTGCTGTCTACGCCGGCGACACGCGTGTCGGCTCGCCGCCCGCGTCGCCCGCGGCGGGCCCGCAGGCGGGCCCGCATGGCGCGCCGCTCGTCGGGAGCGTTCCCAGCAGGCTGTGCAGGGCAGTCTGCCTCACTCAGGGCGCCGCCGCCGCCGCGCGGGGCCGCCACCGGCGCTGCTGCCGTGAACACTGCCGCCGTGTACGCCACCACCGCCTCTCTTCGTCGCCGATCTCGCCGACGCCGCTCGCCGCTCGCCGCCGCCCTGCCCTGCCCCGCCCAGCCCTCGCACAAACAAACCAACACACACACACACACACACACACACACACACACACACACACACACACACACACACATACAGACACACAAAACACACCCCGCCCCAACCTCGAGCGCCCCGCGCCCTCCCGCCCAACGCCCTGCGCCTCACGCCTCGCGTCCCACGCACGCCCCGCGCCCCGCGCCCCCTCACCTCGCGCCTCACGCCTCCCTCCCCACCCTCTCAGGCATTTCTCCTCCCTGCTGCTCGCCAACTCCTCCTCCCCCGCATGACCGACGACTACCCGTCCTTCGGCGACTCCTCCCTCTTCGGCGCCAACGCCCACTACCCGTTCGGCCCGGTGAGGGGCGGGAGCGCAGCCATTCCAACGGCTGGAGAGTTTCTGAACGGCCGCGCATGCGCCTGCATGCCGGCTTACTAAGAATGTCCCTCGCTCCGGCTCCTCTCTCGGAAGACGCGCGCCGGCCTGGGGGACTCGCTTGCGATCCCGCTCCAGCCAGAGGCCGCGTGAGGCGTCTGGGACGGTGTACGCTGGGGCTTGGCCCCAAGTGCACTGGCCTCGCGTCTCGAGGGGAGGGCGGCTCGTAACTGAGGTTCGCCGTCAGGGACAGTCGTCCTCCCCTTCTCGGCCATTCCAACGGCCAGGCCGCTCGCTTAAGGCTGATTGGCTAGACGAGCGGCCTACCTCCAACGGGGCGGTCCGGGAACGCGTGGAACCTGCCCACCTCGGTGGGAGGTGGTTTGGCGCCGACGGACCGCCCTCTCCACCACCCTCGCCCAGGGATCTACAACGCTGTCTTAAGGTCCGACAGGTTCGGCACCGGGCACCGCCTCGGTATACAAAATGCGCCTGCGGGCGGACCCTCACAGATCACAGATCACTCTCTCTCTGCTGCAGTCTGCACCAAGAGAACGCCTCTTCAGAACGCGACTGGTCCACACATAGAGAAGATACGTCACTCAACAACAATGAGTCATGTCCCCAGCCACACACCCCAGAAAGAAAGAAAAGAATTTTACTATACAAGCCCCTCTCACAGCAGACTGGCTCGGACTGGCACTACAAATGGCACAGCAGGCGACGGCCCCTTACGGGTCGTCAAAGAGGCCGGCGTACTCCTCCGGCCGCTCCTCCCCCTCCCAATCCTCCCCGGGCTCTGGCTCCTCCTCCTTCGCCCGCGCCCTCGCCCCCCGCCGGCGGCGATTCCGTGCGGCCGTCGCCCCCTCCCCCTCCCCGCCCCCATCACGGCCGGAGCCGTACCACCCAGCGCGCACGAGGAACGAGGACTGAGCCTCAACCTCGTCCAACCTCACCGCCCTCACGGCGGCGTCGCACGCCTCAGCCCGCGAAGCGCCAGCAGCATGCGCCGCGGCGTACGCCGCGTCGCCTACCGCCTGCCTCGCGAGAGACGCGGCGCGCCACTCGTCCTCCAGCGCCGCCGAGCCCCACACAGGGTCTCCCGCAGACCGGTCCGAGTCGCCGTCCGAGCTTAGCTCGCCCTCGCCCTCGCCCTCGCCTCGCGCCTCGCCGCTCCCATCCTGCGGCTGCGCCACGCCCCGCGCCTCGCAGCAGCCCCATCCTTGGCAGAGCCCGCCGCACATGCCATGCGCGACGTATGCCTGGCGCAGGCCAGGCACCCCCCACCGATCGTCAGTGGTGGCGAGATAGGGCGCCGCGCAGCGGCCTGTCGAGTTAGCCCACCGCCACGCGCCCGCCCGCCACAACTCGCCCGCCGACCCGGGCCGCCCGCAGAGGCAGCACGGCTCGACGACGCCGAGCCACTGCCCGACGTTCAGCTGCGCCCAATGCGCCCGCCACCACGCCGCCCCGCCGCGGCGCCGCCAGCTTTCATGTTCCGGATGGTCGGCACTGGAAAGAGAAGAATCCTGAGCGCCTGCTGCGCGCGACTCGAGGTCGCGCGACTCAATGCGGGCGGTCATGGAGGCCTCACCTTCAAGAAGGGAGGCCGTGTGGACCTCTCGGGAACAATCGGGCGACACGGCGCCGCTCTCCTCCCCCTCCGCCGGCGCCGCGCCGCCGGTGGAAACCTCCTCCACTTGGTTGGGCCGCTCAGCAGCCAAACCCGCCGCGGTGTCGGGCACCTTCTCGAGCCCCCCCCCGCGACCCCTGGCGCCACGGCCGCGCCGCCCTCGGCGGCGCCGCGGCGCCTTCCGCCCGTCCTCGACCTCCTCCTCCCCCCCCTCGGCGGCAATCGTCCCATCGCCGCTCTCCGGCAGCGCGGGCTCCAAGGGGTCCAAACTGGATCCCTCGGTCCCACCTCCGGACCCACCTTCAGCGGCCTGCGCGTCGCAGGCACCGCCGTCCGCCTCTTCGGGGCGCGCGCCGCCGCGGCCCGCGCCGCCAGCCGCTGCCCCGCCACCAGCCGCCTGATCGCCAGCCGCCACCCCAGCCGGGGTGTCGCCCAGCGACAAGCCGCTGAGGGATGCCAAGACCGCAGCTGCGTCCCCCCAGCCCCGCGGGCCGAGAAGAGCTCGGCGGAGCTTCTCCGCCTGGCGGTCGTGGATGTCGAGCGAGCCGATGCCCTTCTCAGCGACCTCCTCGAGGAGGTCGCCGGCATCGCCAACGCCCAGCTCCGCGAGCCGCCCCTCATACCTGCGGTAGAGGATGTCGGCGACTCCCGCGCGCTTGAACAGAGCCGCGAGCGGCTCTCGCAGGTCGATGGCGGGCGAAGCCGCCATCGACGGCCTGGTGCCCGGCCGCGTGGCCCCGGGCTGCGGGTGGGTGCTCGCTGTGGCGGCCGCCGAGAGGGCAGAGAGCGGCGGCAGGCCGCCGACGGCGTCTGCGTCTGAAAGAAAAGAAAACACACGAGCAGGGAGGGATGGGAGGACGGCACGCCGCCACCACACGCCACCGTCCTCAGAGATAGTCCTCGAGTTTCTTCTTTCTGACGGCATGAGCGGCACCGTTAGCCAAGAAGCCCTGCTGCCCGAGCTGGCGGTGGGCGAACTGGGGGCGCTGCGCGCCCTCCTCTCCGGGCGGCGGACGCGCGGCAGGCTCGACGCGCGGCTCGACACCGAGAAGCAGGACACGCTGCTGACCTGGGCCGCTCGGCACGGGCAAGCCGAGGCGGTGCGGCTGCTGCTCGAGGCCGGCGCGAGCGTCGGGGCGGCTGACGGCGAAGGCGCCTCCGCACTCGCACTCTCGTGCGAGGCGGGCCGTCTCGAGTGCGCCCAGCTGCTCCTCGCCGCCGGTGCGGCCGTCGACCAGGCTGAGGACAGTGGTTGCACGCCGCTGTTCATCGCGTGCCAGGAGGGACAGCTCGAGTGCGCCAGTCTGCTTCTCAAGGAAGGCGCGGCGGTCGACCAAGCCGATAAGGACGGCTTTACGCCGCTGTTCGTTGCGTGCCAGGAGGGCGAGCTCGAGTGCGTCCAGCTGCTCATCGAGGCGAACGCGGCGGTCAACCAAGCCAAGCAGAATGGCTTCACGCCGCGTGCCAGCAGGGCCACCTCGACGTTGCCCGGCTGCTCCTCGAGGCCAGCGCGGCGGTCGGCCAAGCCAATCAGGAAGGCGCCACGCCGCTGTTCATTGCGTGCCAGCAGGGCCACGTCGAGTGCGCCCGGCTGCTCCTCGAGGCCAGCGCGGCGGTCGGCCAAGCCAAGGACGGCGGCGCCACGCCGCTGTACGTCGCGTGCCAGAACGGCTACGTTGAGATCGTTCGACTGCTCCTCGGGGCCAACGCGGCGGTCAATCAGGCCGATGAGGACGGCGTTACGCCGCTCTTCATCGCGTGCCAGAAGGGTCACCTCGAGTGCGCCCAGCTGCTCCTCGAGGCCAGCGCTTCGGTCAGCCAAGCCCGCAACGACGGCGTCACGCCGCTGTTCATCGCATGCCGGCAGGGCCACCTCGACATCGTCCGGCTGCTCCTCGAGACCGGCGCGGCGAAGGACCAAGCCCAGACCCAAGGCGCCACGCCGCTGTCCATCGCATGCCACAACGGCCACCTCGAGGTCGCCAAGCTCCTCTCCTCCTACGGCGCCTCCCGCGCCGCAGTGCCGCCCTTCGGCACGCCCGAGGAGATTGCAAACAGCCGCGGCCACGCCGACCTCGCCGCCTGGCTGGTCGCCAGCCGCGGCTGGACGCCGCTCGCGCACCTTGAGACCCTCACCGCCGCCCGCGCTCTCTCCCTGCTGCGCAGCGGCGCGAGCCTGCACGAGGGCGAGCCGACGCCGCTGCAGCGCGCCGCGGGCGGCGAGGGCGAGGCGGCGGCGCTGATCCGGCGGGCGGCGGCGCCGTGGTCGCCGGCAAGCCACTCGCTCTTCCCCGCGGCGGCCCGCGAGCGGGCGGCGCTCCTCGTCGTCTCGCTCTACGAGATCCACGAGCGGCACCATCTCGACTCGGCAGGAAACACGAACGGCATCGCGGCGCGCGACTTTAGCGCGTGCGTGCTGCGCTTCGCGATCACGCGCGAGACGCTACAGTAGCGTGGCGCGCGCGCTCGCACTGCCGCACGCGCGGTGAGTGCAAGGCTCAGGACTCGGTTTTTTTATGGGGTATGAGGCATCGGCGTTCGGTGGGGTCGCAGCGCTGCGCCCGGTGCTCTGCACTGCATCTGCAGAGGTGTGTGATGCACGTCTCTAAGTCAGTTGTCTAGTGTGTCAGGGGCGGGCTGTCATCCTGTCAAATTGGGCTGTGTCGTTCTCTGGGGTACGTTGTCGCGCGCGCTGTGGAGAGCGAGATCTGTGACTGTCGCGCAACCCCCGCCATCCGATCCGCCACCCCCCACCCGGCGTCCGGGCAGATGCCTAGAAAGCTTGCACACGCCCCGACGCTCGGCCGACGCGCACACGGGCATGCAATGCAAGCGGCGCCGGCGGGGCCGTCGTCACCGCGACGACTCACGAGCTCCTTTCGCTTCGGCGGCCGATCCCACGCAGTGGCCACAGGCACGGCGGAAGCGGGGGCGGGGGCGGCGGACTCCGAGCCTTGCCGGCGCCGGCAGCCGCCGCGCCCCTCGGGCTCGGCCGCTCGCGAGGTCGAGGAGCGCCTGTTCACAGCTGCAGGTGTGAAGAGACGCTGTTCACACCCTCGGCCGCTCCGCGAGGTCGAGGAGCGCCTGTTCACAGCTGCAGGTGTGAAGAGACGCTGTTCACACCCTCGGCCGCTCCGCGAGGTCGAGGAGCGCCCGCTGGCCGAGCTTGGCGACGGAGGAGACGGGGAAGAATGAGCTCTCTGCCCTCGAGGAGGCGTCGAGGCGCTGTTGCTTGCACCGTCGCGCTTCCTCCTCCGCCCTCCCCCTCCCCCTCCTCCTCGCCCTCCTCCTCGCCCTCCTCCTCGCCCTCCTTGTTGGTTTTCTAAAATCTCTCTCTCAGAGCTCACACAGGATCACAGCGGGAGGAAAGCGGCGAGTCGCAATTCCAGGGGTCGTTGTGGCGGGCCTGTGTTAGTGCCATTTTTGGGGGCGCGCCGCCAGGCGCGTCCCCACTTTTGTATCACAGCTGCGAGGGCCAACCAAGGGATTCGGCGCGTCAAGTTAACTTGACCGCTCGTTCGGGCTTTGGGCCGCAGGCCGGCGCGCAGCGCCACGCCGCCAGGCGTCCGCCGGAGGCCCGCCGGAGGCTCTTCCTGCGGCCACATTCTGGCAAGATTCCGCCGCGCTCAGGCGCCCAGAGGATGCGTGCGCTGCGCTCAAACGTCGCGATTTGGCAATAGGCGCTCGAGCCGGCGCACAGCGGACGGGTGCGCCGCGCAGGGGGGGTCGGAGGGGTGCGAGAGGGGGCGTGGGTCAGGCGCGCACCGGCCGGCTCCGGGAGCGGCCGTCACGTCGAGGAGGGGGGCTGTCTGCAGTTCAGGGGGGTAACGGTGGCACTCTGCTTCGCCGCCGACAGCCCCTCTTCCGAGCCGGCGCGTGGCGACGAGCCGCGGCCAGTGTCGCTGGTTCCTTTGGCGGCGCAGCGTTTATCCCCCCCACCCGCGCCCGCCCGCCCGACCGCCCGCCCGCCCTCAGGCCTTGCCCCTTCGCAGGCGCGGGAGCGCTCGCCGGCGAGCACCTCCTACCTCTCCTCGCCCGGCTGCTCCCTTGCCCCGTCGCCCGCCGCGCCCTCGCCCGGCCTCAAGAGCTTGGCGGCCTTTGTCCGCCAGCTCAAGGCGTGGGACGAGGCGTGCGCCGACGGCCGCTCGTCGTGCTGGTTCGAGACGGAGGGCGACCTCCCGCGGCTGGCCGGGGAGGCGCTGCTGGCCGAGGCGGCCGCGACGGGCGCGAGGCGGATCGCCTTTGACGCCGTCGCGGCGCGTCTCGAGGCGACCGCGGCGCCGCCGCCGCCTCTCGGCACCGCCTTGGCCGCGTGGCCCACGGGATGGGGCATCGAGGAGGGCAACTTCTGCGGGCTGGCGCACTGGGCTGTGGAGGTGTGGCACGCGGCCGGGTCGGTCGACGCGAGCCGGTGGCAGGTCGAGGCTGACGGAGGGCGCCTCTTCTTTGTGCGGGTCGCGGAAAAGGCCGCATAATCGCGCTCTCCGCCGAGGCCCGCCTCGGCGACGGCGCTCGCCGCGCCGCAGCAGCAGTAGCAGCAGCAGCAGCAGCACGTGATTCTTGACACATGATTACACTACACAGTCCTCCCTTCGGTTGTCGTTTCGACCCTGTTTTTTTCTTCTATCGCAGCGCACTCGCATCTGTGAGCCTAGCGCAGCGCGAACTCGCCGTCTGAGCCTAGCGCAGCGCGAACTCGCTCTGAGCCTAGCGCAGCGCCTCGGAAAACACCATTTTGGCTCGCCAACAAGCCCTCCGCGCCCCCACACCGTTATGATAATACTTTTCACGCCGCTTTTCTTCTTTTTATTGACGAAAATTTCGGCCAGGAATGGAGCCAGCGTCCCGCCAGCCCACGCCGAGAAGCAGCCATGGCCAGCCACGATGGCTCAGGCCCGCACGCCGCCAAATTCTACGTGCCGCGGCTGCTCTCGACTAGCGGCGAGCCCTCATCCTCGCACGTCCTCAGCGAGTGCGCCATCCGGCAGCTCGCGCCACAGGTGCCTCGCCGGTACGCGCTCTCTGACTGGAGACTGCTCTACTCGACGCACGTGCACGGCATCTCAATCAACACTCTCTACCTCCGCGCCTCGGGTTGCGGCGGATGCCTCCTCGCGCTGAGGTCCTCCGACGGTGCAGCTACCTACCCTGCCACTTGAGCGCACTTCTGGACCGCACACACGCTCCTTGCGCACTCTATGCGACTGTACGTCTGCTCTCTGCTCTCGAGTGCAGTTCGCTCCCTCTCTTCTGTCGGCGTCTCTGCTCAACTCGCCCTCGCCACTGCGCGCCTGCAGGAGCCACCTTTGGAGGCTTCATCTCCGAGTGCCAGCCGCCGAGTGCACCGGGACCGGACGGGCGCCACTTTTACGGCAACGGCGAGTCCTTCCTCTGGCGGGTCGAGCCGCTCACAGACCTGCCTCCGCTGCCGCGCCCCTCCATGGGAGAACCGCCCACCTGCCTGCTCGAGACGTTTGGCTGGACGGGTCGAGATGTAGCCGAGATGGTGCCGAGATAGAACCGACCTGCCCTGCTCGAGACGTTTGGCTCAGACGGGCGCGCAAGAGAGCACACACTTCTTCCTCCGCGGCGCGAGGCGACACCCGCGACGCGTCCACGACGTGTCCCCGCGGACTCGGCTGCAGGCGCCAACACGTACTTTGCCCTCTCTCACCGAGAGCACCTCGCCCTCGGGTCCGGAGGGCACTTTGGCCTGTGGATCGACGCCGACCTGAGGTGCGAGATCCGGCCGAGATCTAGCCGAGATCTAGCCGAGATCTATGGCCCGGATGCGCCGAGATGAGCGGGGCGCCCACACGCACTCCTCCGACACCGACGACCAGCCTCGCGTGCCCACCCGGCCGAGCTGAAGAGGGGTGTGCCCCCCCGCGCCAGGCACGGCTCTTCCGGGGCAAGCGACACGTACGGCGACCCCTCCCCTTGGACGCGCCACTCCGCCGCCCGAGCTCTGAACGGCGCCGCTTCACAGCTGCATGCGTGAACAGGCAACCCCTCCCTCTGCGCGCCGCCGCCCGAGCTGTACCACCACTCGGAGAGGAACACCGGCTCGTCTGTCTCGGAGGTGCCGGCCGGCGGAGGCGACGGGGGCGGCGGAGGCGGCTGTCGCGGGGGCGGCGGCGGCGCGGGGGGCGGCGGCGGCGCGGAGGCGGCGGCGCTCAGCAGAAGTCGGAGAGAGTCGTCTTCGAGCGGCGAGTTTGTGTGCGACGTGCTCGAGGTGTGGGGCGTGGACGGGCACGCCATCAAGCGGAGAAACGCGGAGTTGCTCCGGAGGGGCGTCGCGCCGTGACGCTCGCAGGGGAGCAAGTTTTGAGGGATCGTCGTGGATATGTGTGTGTGCCGGCACAGCGATCTCTGATCGAGACTGTGAGTGAAGTTTACTCTACCCGAAGGATCACAGGCTGCGCGTCTCCTTCGTCTTCACACTCCCACCGCCCTCGAGGAGGGAGTTTCTTTTACGTTTTGGAACCGAAGCGAGTGAGCAGCTCGACCAGTGGTCGCGCCCAGTGGACTGTGGAGAGAGTGGAGCTGGGGAGGCAGGACGAGGCTGTGGAGCGCCACATTGTGCTTCATGGTGGCATTGTGCGCTCCATGGTGGCTATCGGCGCCGGCGGAGCGATCTGCCACCCCTGAACCTCGCTCAGCTCGGTGAGAGCCTCGGTCGCCTGCATGCCGCTCCAGCAGCAGCCGGTGCCGCACGGGGCGCGGCGCGCCTTTGCGCGCTCGACGTCCACCAAGAAGGACTGGTACGCAGGCGTCAGCTTGAGCTTGCCTTCATCGTCGAGGAAGGCAATCTTCTCCCACGCGTACATATACCCGCCGGCGCCCTTCAGCTGGGCCTGATCGTCGTACGAGTAGCGCATCCAATCGCCCGCCTTGCTCTCCTCGACCCAGCTGGCCAGAGTGGCGTCGCTCTCCTGCGCGTTGGTCACCCGGTCCCCGGGCTGGAGGAGGTAAGCCCACTGCTGGCTACCGGCGACGTTGACCCACTTGCCTACGTGATAAAGAGACACCAAAGTCAGGGCGGGAAGACGGACATCATGCAGTGCTATTCAGAGCCATTGCCGTCGGGTGACACTTCGAAGCGGAAGGGGGCGGCTGGCCGGAAGCGCCACCAAAGCCAGCCCCAGCAGGTGGCGTCGGCAGACCAGTTGTACGACTGGTGCTTGAGTCCGATGTAGCCGCCCTCGGCCGTCTTGACCCACTCGGCGTCGTGCAGCGCGAACAACGTCTCGGGCGGCGCGATGTTGCCGCGCATGTACCAGAGGCCGAGGAGAGAGGGAGGCGTGTCTGGGCTCGCGCCCGTCTTGAGCACCTTCTCAAACATAGCCTCGAAGCCAGCCTCCTTCACCGAGGCCCACTCGGCGCCGCCCGCGCCGCTGCGGATTAGGCATTGCGCCACCGGGTAGCAGCACTGCGTGCGATGCGAGTAGCAGTCATAGCCGCAACCCCAAAGGAACGAGTAGGTGCCGGCCCGCGCGGTGTACGAGGTCGAGTTGAAGACGAGAGGCTTGTCAGAGGTCGCGAATCGCTCCCAAGGGATGCTCCCGTTGGGAGGGAAGGTGGACGCGAGATTGGCGTTTGGAGCCCACCTGCGAGCCGTCGCAGCCACGGGTGTGAGCACGAGCTAACTTGAGCGCGGAGAGGCCGCTCTCGCGCACATCGCGGCGCGAGTACTGTGTGGGTGCGGAGGGTACTACGCAAAGAGGCCCTGGGGGGGCTGCTTTGTGGCTGCGATTCCCGCCATCCTGGGTCCACGGTGCCGCGCACTTTTGGGTCTTCTCGAGCTCATCGCGAGTTGGAGGCGAAGAGAAGGGCTTCGTAGACAGCTGCAGCTTCCGGGCGTGTACAAAACCCGCGGTGGGTTTGGGAAGCTTAGGCTTGTCCGGCTGCAAAGCAGGTGCCATTTTGTAAGTGCGCCCTGCGCGCCGCAAGCAAAATGCGGCGGCACGTATCACGATTTTCTTTCAGCTTTGTCGTAAAATTCTTTTTTTCCTTGTTCTTTTCGCTTTTTGTTTTTAAAACTCCGTTTCTGACTCGCTATGTTTTTTTTTAACGTTAGCGTACGCCCTGCGGTGTTGGTCTGACTGTGTTTCGCCCTTTTTTTCGTAACTAACTAACTAAGATTGTGCCCAGTGATACGAGCCGGACTGTTCTTCACCTCAGATTCTTACATGCCCGATACACATACTAGTGATACGACCGACGTGGTAACGTTTAGTTCATGCTCAGCACGTGTTTGTCTTCCCCTCCACTCTCGGCCGAGAGCTCCGACGCCGTGGCGACCGCGTCCGCGTCCCCTCTGACCGCGCCCGCGCGCTCGTCGGCTTCGGCCCGCTGGCTCTCATCGAGCAGGCAAATGACGTCAGCCTGCACCGCGAGGCAGTAGACCTAATCAGACAGGCACCCCACTGAAGCGCAAGGACCAGTGAGCACCGGCCGGGCGCACAGCGGTGTGTGTCTGTCCGTGCGCAGCGAGACCTCGATGGGCAAGTCATTGTATTCGAAGCCGAACGGCTGCTCGATCTGCACCGCCGTCTCCTCGACCTGTGTATGCCAGGGGTGAGAGGCGGGTTAGAGCAGCTGCGGCGGGGGCCTCCCCGCTCCCGCCGCCGCCCCCTCTTCGCCTTGAGCAGCAAGTACGAGATCAGCGAGCACACTGGCGCGAGCCACCAGTCGAGGTGGCCTGTTCACTCGCCGTGTGTTTGGGGAGTGCCCCCCCCCCCCCCCCCCCGTAAGCTCAGGCGAGGCGGCCTGTTCATTGGAAAGGCGAGTGAAGACACATCGTTCTCACCTCCTCGCCTGTGCGCGACTAGCCGAGAATGCCGTCAATCATGGCAAAGGGCAGTAGCACCAGGAACAGGAGCAGGATGACGCGGAGGACGCCGACGTAGCCCGGCGGCAGCGGCGTGTTGACGATGCGCTCGCATCCGGTTATCGCCTCGCAGAAGCCCTCGGTGACGCCAAAGAGGGAGTGCGACAGCATCGAGGTGTGCAGGTAGAGGGTCTGCGCGGGCAAGGGCACAAACGGAAGAGGGAAAGACTCGGCGGGCGCAAGTGGGGAGGGTGCGGGTGGCTGCGGCTGCGGCTGCGGCGCACCTGCTCGCCTCTGCTCACCTCGCCTCTGCTGGCCTCGCTGCCCGCCGCCGAGTACTCCACAGTGGCGCCGATGGCCACGTCCACCGAACGGCGCAGCCTCATGATGGCGTACAGCGGCGGGTGGCTGGCCTGCGCGAGGTTCGCCAGCTGATGCGAGCTCAGCAGCGAGTAGAGGCCGTCGAACTGCCCCCTCGCCATCATCGCCTCGATCTTGTGGCCGTCTAGCAGGTCGAGCTCAGTGTACATCCTCTGCACTTGGGCGCTCACGGGGACAGGGCACAGCCGCTCGCCGCGCAGCCTACATGTACATGTGTGTTGAGCTCATGTCATCACAGGCACTCCAGGGGTGGTGGCGCGGCCACTGGCTTCGCAGCCGGCAGCAGAGGGCGATGGCGAACGCGATGCACCAGCCGCCCACCTCAGCGTGCAGCCGGTGCGATTTTGCGCACACCTCCGCCGAGACGCCCATGCGCGTCTGGTGCGCCTGAGCGGCGAGAGAAGGACGGTGTTGAAAGCCACACGAGGCTTGACACATGGTTAGTCGCCCGTCTCTGGGCTAGATCTTGGCTAGATCTCGCCGCGGCGCTCGCGATGAGCTGAGTGAGCAGCGAGCGCGAGCCGTTGACAACCTGACACACGGGCCGCGCTGCTTAAGACACTACGCCGTGATTGGTGTGAGCCACCTACTTTCGTTCTGGCGCGCACCTTGCCCCAGTACAGCCGCGCATTTGACCAGCGCTTGTACGAGGCTTGAAGGCGGAAGGCGAGCAGCAGCGACATTGCGCCCGCGAGATTCTGCATGGGCAGCGACTCCGAGAAGTCCGAGATGAGCTCGGTGGCGGAGGGGAAGAAGTACTGTTGTGGGGCGCGGGGGCTGCACGTCGAACACAGCTTTGCTGCAGCTGTCACGTCAAAACTCACACGTGTATCGGAAGTGTCTAGGCTTATGCGGTGCATGCCACCTCGAGGAGTGTCAGTGTGACGGCGATTGCCTGGAGGGACGGGGACGCGTGACTCAACGGTAGTAGCGCGGGAGCCACAGCCGGCTGGCTGGCTGGGGCTTTGGTCTGGGGTAAGGGGAAGCGGCTCGCTGGCTGCTCGCCGTCGTGAATGCCCACGGAAGCAAGACAAATCCCGTCTCTTTGCAAATGTCGAGCATGCGCAAGGTGTGGATCCACGAGCGTCGATTGTAAGTCAGCCTCGCACGCGATGTCGCCAGCTTCGAAACGACCCCAACGCGGCTGCCGAGCGCGCTAATCCGAGGCGTGTTGAGTGAGTCCGCCTTTGAGGAGGCCTTCACCGGCGAGAAGGGAAACCCGACTCCGCGCGGCGTGGCGTGCCCGCCAGCGGCCAGCGGGTCGGCCACGGACCGCCCGCGGCTCGAAGAGCGCCGCACGCCAGCAATCGACGGCTCTGGCGAGTGATGCCGCACGCTAGGCTTGTTCGTGTGCATGTATGTGTCTGATATGTGTGTGCACTACAAAGCCACTGCGTCCGTCCCGCCGGCGGTGTTTTTCACGGCCATCAAGTTCACGATGTGCATGCACATGTACATGTACATGTGTTGTGATCTGAGAGAGAGAGAATCAGTGATCTGTGATCTGTGAGGGTTGCATGTTGTGCATGTTGTGCATGTGTCCGAGCCGCGGGGCTGGCTGTTCTTGCACATCTCTTGGATCTTGCACGTATATCTTGTGCGTTGTGGTTCTTTTGACTTCTGTCTTCTCGCCTCCTCAGTGCTCAGAAACTAACTTACGCGGAAGTACAATTAGGCGCTTGGCATGTTTGTATTTACCAGCTCGTTCACGATCTGAGACTGAGTGTACAAGAATTTCGATTATTTTAAGGCGTGTTGTGCCCCCCGGGGCGCGCCGCTTCAGCCGATATCGAGCCGTACACCGGACCCCGCCGGTCACGGCTCACGGGGCGCCCGCCGCCTCGCCACCGACAGCGTGCGGCCAGAGCAGCGCCGCCACGCGCGCCGCCGCCGCGTCGAAGTTGTCCCCCCAGTGTGTCTCGTCGGCGGGGTCGTCCTCCGCCTCCTCGCGCGGACTGCAGCTGTACAGCCCCGCCTCGAAGAGCGCGTGGTGCCGCCGGTGGCCGGCGCTGCCGTCGGCGGGCGGGCGCAGCATCTGGAGCACGCTGCTGCCCAGCAGCGCCTACCGGGACGCATCGAGAAGAGGGCTTAGGGGAGGGGTCCGAAGGGAGGGGCCCAAACCCCGCGGCGCGGCGCAGAAGAGACGCACCAGCCGCGCTGCGAGCGGCACCAGCGGCTTCGCGCCCCGCGAGAGCCACCGGGCAGCGAGCTCGTTTGGCGCCTGCGGGAGAGCACCGGGCAGGGTTATGGGCAAGGGGTGTGGGCAAGGGTTGTGGGCAAGGGTTGTGGGCAAGGGTGTGCGCAGGGCGGCGGGAGGAGACTGGGAAGGGAGTGGCGACGGGGTCCGGTGCGAACGGAGCGCGAGCGCGTGTGTGCACATCTAGCCGCGGCGCGCCGAGAGCTCCGCAGCGAGCCTCTGCCTCAGCTCGGCGGTGGCGCCTGTTCACAACCCTCACCTTCTGGCCTCACGGCTCCCTCGCTCCGAGCCTCCGCCTCAGCGGCCGTCGCCCTTGGCAGCGGCTGTCGAGCCGACCAGCGCTCCGATGCCGCCCCCCCACCCCTTGCCAGGCCTCACCCCGGCCCACGGCGTGATGTCCGACCAGGGCGCAGAGTCGCCCCACGGGGTGGCCCACGGGGTGCCCACCTAGAGGCGGACCCGCGCGGCAGCGTCAGCAGAGTGGGCACACCGCAGCGCCGCGGCAGCAGTAGCAGTAGAGGTCGCGGTGCGAGGCGCGTTTGCGCTGCGCAGGAGAGGGCAAGCAGCAAAGTGTGCATACACGCGCTGCAACGCCGCGGAGCCCATCCGAGCGCGTGTCTCCTCAAGCGCTGGGTCGGGAGGCGGGGGGGGGGGCATGGCCTCGCGGCATCTAGGAGCAGGCTTGCCCACGTGGCGGCCCACGGCGCCGCGCCCCAGTCAGGGACGACCAGGCGCGGAACTGCCCCCCAGGTCGTCCCGGC